GTTTTGAGGAGACAATCCTAATCGGATTTTAAATCACACATTACAACTGCAAAATCTACGTATCTCTTATGTAGGTGCAGTAAACATGATCAAAGAATCTATGATGATGTTTTTGGAACTCTCCATGATGCAATGATTTAACATTAGTGTTGAAAAACCCATAACTTACCTAAATGAAGCAGACTTCCATAGTCATTTCAGAGTCTTTTGAAAGCCAAGTGTACATTAAAAATACACTTTTTGTCAGTTTTCTTGAGTTCGGTTTTGAGGAACAACATATTGACATATTTTATCTAGCATTCGAAATATAGTTGCGCTACACATTTCTAACATTCTGTCTCTATACTTATTTGTCATACACACGTGAAGACAGAATATAACAGAATCTAAAGACTGAAATTGATTTAATGTGGAGTAAAAATATTTATTTATGAGTCAAATTTCAGGTAAAATGTAGTAAAAATGAAAGAGGAGAAATAAAAATGGTATAAAATCATCTATAGTTTAACTGAAGCAAGTTCAATATGATGACCAACAGTTTTTGATCACAAATGCTGGTTAAAGCTCACTTAAACGTAAAGCTCAAATGAGTTTAAATGTGTGTCACAGAAATATGTTTCATGTGAGGTTTCAAAAACTGTATGGATATGTTGGAGAAGATTTTTAGCTCAAGTGGATGATTTTGATCCAGTAGTGTTCCCTGAGCCAGATGGTTTATTTGCGAAGCTCTCACTGCCTTACTAGCCAACGCCTTCAGTGCATACTTCAATTTTAAATGAGCTTTTAGAGCTCTCTACCCGTTTATTAGTCATCTCTCCTGATGACCTAGAACGTGATTGTTTGTTTTTGTGGGCTTTCAAACCTTCTACTGAATGTTTCCTTGAACTAAAGTTTGCCACTTTGTGTGCAAAATTTCTTTCTTATCGATTAGTAAGTTTTGTCTACATCAATGTGTCTATCAAGTGAAGATTCGGTGAAATAAGAGAATTTTCAAATTTCTTAGTCAATCTTGGTCTTTTCCATTCCTAATGTATGAACGTTGTCCCAGTCGAATTGATGTCCACAATATGAGGGTGTGGATATGACGCCTGGTGACGACTACATTTCTTTCATGGATGCCAAGACCTAGAGAGCATCTACTTTGGGCACTGTAGTGTTTTACGCAGTCGTAGCAATTCATTTTGTAGATGATTCTAGTTTCATCTTCTTTTGCTGTTAATTCTTTTAGTTGACACAGAGCTAAGTAGATTGACTTTGTTGGCCTACGTTTTACATCAACTAATCATGTTCAAAGTCGCCAGTGGAGATAACTCATAAACTCGTGAAGAAATTTAAAAGCTCACTCCAAAATGAAGTATGCCCTGAAGATGTAACATAGTAGGTCGATAAAAGCTTCTCATGTAGACTATCCAGCTCAGAGAACACAATTCCATCAAAAACACTGTTGAAATCAGCTTAACCATCCATCTTCATTGAATTTACTTGATGATAAATGGTTTCGGGTGTCTTTTTCCATCGTTGGCTGACAAAGACTATATTTTTAAGGATATTTCTTCGGTTAAATGGAGGACTCTATCATGAGCTGACATCAATTAGAGAATCATTGAAAGTGGTGGACGTCCTGGACATCGAAGTGGTCGTGCTATGTCATGAACTGGCAGAAATGACATTTCATGAGCTGGCCATCAGATAGGGTCTCAGTGGAATAATGGTTTACGAGCCAGTTTGGCTTGTAACCAGAAGGTTTTGGGTTCGAACCCTGTGGTTTGAGTGTGTACTCATGAAGAGTTCCAAATCAGGCTCTGACTCTGTGTGTATGGTTTCACGTAGCATCTACAAGTAGAATCGAAGAATCAAAATAAAGTTTTAAGTATACGTGTAAGCTGATCATTTCAAGCTGAAATCAATGGAACTTACTATTAAAGCAATCAATGCTCAAACTGTCCTTAACGGAATTTATTAAATATCAAAGTTGTCTTTACAGTTAGAAGCAGCTTTTTATATTATCTAGGCACCAAAAGGAGAGAAACAAACAGTTTCAGATAACTTATCTCAAATAAACTCATTACTCTGTTTAGCAAAATATCTTGCTTCTCTAACGTCAATGTATGTAAAGAGTACATTATATTTTTTTATGAGTCAAAAATGTTTTTAGTTTTGATGGAGTTTTTATGTTTTAAATTTATTCGAGCAACTTATTTAGCTTGGTTTTTAAGGTAAGCTTCTTGGGGGTCTAAAACTATGTTGTCGTTCAATCTTTGCATTCAAAATGAAGCATAGAGCCTAATTATTACATCTTTACCCCATTCAATTCTCTGCCATCAATGTCATTAACCTGTTTGACCCAGATAAGAAATTTCCAATTATTATCATTACTTTTTCTTTTATTTCGCAAAAGAACATAGGGATTCAGCTGCACATCTTCATAGCATTTAGTTCTCCGCCAACATTTTCACCTGGCTTTAAGTTTGCCCACCTGCTTTCATCTGCTTTCCTCATGAACTCCTCCAAGTTGACTTGCAAATCACACAATTCGAGGAGGTCATTAAGGTTTCATTAAGGTTTCGTTTGGAAAATGAAATTTTTCAGGCAAAAAATTTGTGCTTTACTTAATGAGATAAACGGTAGTGGCAAACATCTACTCATCTCACCCAGTTAGTATTGTTATTACTCCCTTGGGTACCAAGTGGAACATTTCGCTTCAACAGCATACGTCCACTTAGTTCTACTCTATGTTGTCCTCTTTGTCTGGATTGCCCTCTCTCTCTCTCTCTCATTTCCTCCCCGTCATACAACCTCCTCCATGTTCCACTCGCACCGAAAACTCATTCATCGCTTATCCTTCGGATTTCACCCGAAAGAGAGCCTGTATTGAGCGGGATGTCATTCGACAGCCTCCTCAGTGTATGCCTGATCCATATCCGTTATCTCGTATATATTTGTTGAACACTCGGCTCTTGGTTGGTTCGCTCCTTGCTAGAGTTTCTTGTTGCTAATTATTTGCGGTTCACTGGCCGTTTGATCTTCATTGTGCAGCCAGTGCGGTGAACATCTGTTGATTAAAGTCTTCAGTCTTCTAAAAGTGTCTTTCTTGACACGCAGTGCAAGCTTCTGAAACGTATAAAGGAACCGAAAAAGGTGTCTCCTGGCTGGCTTTCACATTTTCATCTGTTCTGACCACATGTTCCCAAACCTGTGCTTCCTGGTGATTGATTCTGGTTGTTGTTAGTGTTGCTGTTGTTTGATTATCTTCATCACCCACCGCCATCTTCCCTAAGTTTACCTAAATTTCTCTCCTCATTGTCAACCTCTTCTGCCAGTTAGTTGGTTTCCATCTGCAAGTCTTCCAGTCTGTGTGATGTGAAAAAAAAAAACAAATCACCTGCAACATTTAAATCTTCTAGAGTCTTCTCATTAGTGACCCAGCGTATTCTTGGTTTCTCAGTCCAATGTACAGTCTGACGCATAATCTAGTCAACCACAATTGAGAGTGTCATTAGTGATAATAGGCAATCTACTTAATTAGTATTATAAAATTGTATGCGATTTTTTCTGATTCCCTTCATTTTCATTTAAAGCAGTATGCGGTTACGGCATTTAAAGGAGAGTGCGGTGAAATTTTTTACAACGAGTTCTATATATTGCATGTTAATCTGCTATTACTGGTTCACTTTGATGGCTTACTAGAAATTGAATGCCTTTAACTGACCTTCGGGTTGAGTCGACCCGTCTTTCCCACTAATGAGCTTATCCCCAAAAGAGAGTGGGGTGATCGTCCGGTGTTTAGACTATTTCGATCCGGCTAGTGAGCATTCATGGTTGCTCCAAGTGGTATACAAGTACGTATCTCAAGCAGTCAGTGGAATATGATCTTATTCAATTAGGCTATACGGCTACTCACTAGCTTTCATTGTCTCCCTCCATATAATCCTTCATGTCATCAATTTAATCAACAACAACAATAATTAATTCTGATCCATTTGAAGGTAAATGGAATCATTATCTCAGGGTTTCGTCATGAACTGACATCGGCTAGACCAACAGTGGAAAACCTGGGAGTACTGGATATCTGTGTCGTCCTATTTCGGGGCTCTTCAGCAGTAGGAACTAACCAATGGGTAACAGCAGCTTGGGTGTTGGGACAAACACCCGTCACTGAAGACACTTTCCAGTGGTTGATCTATTGGGACAAGTTGGAAATTATGGGATGGCCACTGGATTGGGTCTACGAGTTCGCCTTGTAACCAGGAGGACCTGGGTTCAAACCTTGCAGTGTGGATGCGTACTAATGAAGAGTCCCGAGCTAGGCTGACAAAAAAGCTGTCCATTACTCCCAACTGGTTATACAATGATCCTCTAACTGATTCCAGTTCATAATGAAATCCTGAACCAAATCAAATCCCTACAAACCAACAATTGGAATCATTATCCCCACCTGGTTCGCTATACATTGAGCAAAATAAGTGTGCTAAATATAAATAAATTTCACTTGTAATACCTGAAAAGCGAGACTGTGTGACCTGAATATATTACTTACAAGTTTTGAAGAGGAAATGTGCGAACTAGTATGCCCAGTATAGAGCACATCGAATAGTGAGAAAATGGTGACTAGTGGGGTTCACTATGACAAATGTGAACTGGATTCTGGTCAGTATGATCAGCTGGCAATACTCTTCAGTTACAAGCCCTAGACACATATAAATCCACATGTGATTGAATTCTAACAGCAAACAGCCTATCCCTGTGACCGAGAGTTGTTGGATTCGATCACGAACTAAGTTATGTTTGTGTTCACATTTCTAAAGAGTTCAAAACCATGCGAGTGATTCTCAGCGCTTCTTTACCGACTACTTATGGTTCGTTGAGGAATCTACAACGGAATATCTTTGACCTCAAAGTAAAATAAGAATTCCATGATAAATTTATGTATTGATTTATTTAAAAATGACAAATAAGTGGAAACAGAACATTAATGACAGTAAAAAATATAAACTCATAAATTAGCAGTCTGTTTGTTGATTCTTCGCTAACTTGTGTGGCACTAAAAATTTCATTTGCTTGCCATTCACATCAGTGATTTGACGTCCCAAAGAAATTACCACTATTAAAAAAAGAATGAAAATTCAAGAAATTAATAAAAGTGAATGTGAGTGGCAATACATACATATAGGGGAGTCAAATATATTGCATCACAATACAATGTCTCCAGGAGTCAGAGTTGGTGTTAGCTATCAGGTGGAACTAGGATGTGTGTTTCTTCCCATTTGGGACTCCTCAGCCAGATATTTCGTAATAAGTAATCTTAATTAATCTAAATATTTATGTTATTTGTGATAACGCACAATAACCCAAAAACTGCATCGTGAACCTTGAGTAGGTTTTGTATATGATGTGGTTTTTGATCTTCAAGCTAAAAGTGAAAAAATCACCGATTGTCGCGTTAATGCATTACTAAACAGGAACGCATTTATCCATGAGGGAGGTGCTTTTCATGTACATAGATGTTTATACGTATTATTCCTTTATGTTCCCAGCTGAACGTAGGGCATCAAGCCAGAGCTTTGAAGTTTCGGTAGCAGTAGTGTTTTGTTTTAACGAGATGGGTTTGCTAGCCGCATACCCCAACCTCCCCTCTGTACTAATCTTATCAATGGCTCATTTAAAGGAGTGTCTTTTCGACCGGAGATCGAACTACGAACCACCTGCGTGGTTGGTCAGCATTCTACCGCTGTGTCACTGACTCATGGTTCTTTTCCTATCAATCTGAAAATAACTAAAACTAAATAGGAGCAGAGATCCTTTGCTTTATAAGCAGTAAAAACAACTAGTGAAATTCAAGAACGCAATAAATGAAGACAATCGAATTTTAATATTGAAACGCACATAAACCCATTTCACTTAAAACATAGAATTTAAAGTGCTGTACATTAAATAATTAGAAAAGGAATAATGCATGGTATACAAATAAATAAATAAATTAGTATACATAAACACACACACATACTTCATACCGAAATTATCGCCTTCATTGTTTGGAAAGACATTGAAATCTTTTCACTTAAACTACCCTTTCAAATTAGCATATTCCAACCTAAATTGGTGTAGAAAGACACCAAGGACCGAATCACATGAAATTATTCCCCCAAGGTGATGAAGATCACTAGCACACATCATCAGTGGGCGAAATCCCTTGGATATTGTCTTTTTTCCATTACCTAGCCTAAGCAACTTCGTTACAACAACAGGCGGGGAGGTTGAAGAATTCATCAAGCCGAGCCAGTATTGTTCAATACTGTGGAATCACTGTGAGGAATTAGTGAATTTCAATTCAATGCGTATATATTATCAGGAGACTACATCGCCAGAAAGGACAAACTATGCATCGAAAAAAAGAGAAAGGGATGAAGACGAACTGAACATAGACAAGGAAGACATTCAATTACTTGATCTTGATACGTAGTAGATCATGTGAAGCTGAAATCGAATCTTGTAGGTAGTCGTAGAGCCAGCTGGTAATGATTACAGAGAATAACGTTTAATAGAGTTATACTTCTGAGTCACACTCGGAAAGCGAGGAATTATTACGAATAGTGAATAATGTCATTTTCATTTACTTACCATAACATTGTAATTAGTCTACTTTTTTTGTGTAATAAATATTAAAAAGTTGAAAGGCGATGTGTCAGCTAGTAAGCAGACATTAATTTTTACTCTGGTAGTTATGTCTACGAGTTATTCAACAAGAATTTAGTGAAAAGCATACAACCTCAATAGTCAAATATCGTAACGCTGAAGGAATTAAACCAGTCAGGTTTACAGTGTAGTCACTCAACTTGCTGATTTACTACAGTTAAGGAATAACCTACTGTCTCTGAGTTCATTGCTGGATGACTCAGCCTTGAATATTGCTTTCTTCATGTCTGCAGTGACGACACCTTTGTGATGAATGCCAAAAAGTATGAAATCAAGATCCAAGGATTCTAAATCAACTGTTACAGTCATGTATTATCGTTTCCATATAACTTATATTATTTCTATTTCACCTTCATTTTCACAGTGAAACCCTTTGCTGTTTACCTTTAAAGAAGTCTCAAAACGTTATTCAATCCATTCTCAATCATGATACCCCTTTCTAAAACTTACGTAATCTTAGCCCAGACAGAGCTTAATTCATAAAATATTTCCAGAGAAAAATAAATCAAAGCCTTTTTAGTTTTAACAAAACACAGGTTATCATGAATGAAGATTTTCGGAAGCAGTAATCAGTGAACACAGAATAAATTTTTTATTTATTCTATTTTTGATTGCAGCTTGATTCCATACTGTATTTTTTGTACAAGTATGGAATTTTCAGTATGGATATCGATAGCCCAAATTTTGCAGCCCGACCATAGATATCAGGTGTGCGTCGGCAGGGGCTGGAACCTCGGATCATGTTCATGATCAGCGAGATTCCTAACCACTGTGCCACCAGTTATGTTATAGCGCTTATTTAATTAGTCTTAGAAGCATATTGGCTTGCTATATGGGTCGAAAATATAATGCAAAGATTCTCTGTTATAACAGAGTATTCTTTGATACAAGAGAGGCGTCTCCTAAAGTGAATTTATGTTGTTCGAAGTGAAATCTACAGAGAAAGATCGCATACAATGACACAGAAGTTTGAAAACAGCTGATAAATCTCATGATACAATAAATAGCATTCTGACTATACGTTGTACAACTCAATCTGTCGTATTCTAATGTTAGTTCAACAGTATATGTTTGACTATATTTAGAGACGGTGTTAGGTCCTAATGTTTTGCAACAGCTTCAGTAAGTTCTTACATAATTTTAGCCTAAAAATCACCAGTTGTTTCCAAACCCTTATTGCGCAAATCCTTTAGCACTTTATGCATACACTTATTTTGTAAAAACTTGAAATCCGTGTGCAGAAGATATATACGTTTTTATGTGTTTAACCATAGATTGAAAGCAGCTGGACAACCATTACAAATCAGCAAGGACCGGATAGATGTTTCATATTAGTTTGGAAATCATCAGCAGTACGCACCCATCACTGGGGGTTCAAACTCAGGACCTCCCAATTATAAGGAAAGTTTGTGTACAATTCAGCCGTTGGGACCCGATTCAATGGCCAGGCCATGAGTTTTAACTTCCACTAATTCATAATTTAGCGCAGCCACCAATCAGTGGTTGGCTATGAGTCGCAAAACTGGGATGGAACAGTAAACCAGTACTCTCTCTCTGGTTTTCAATGGTTCTCTAACTGATATCAATACGTGGTCATACGCGTAAAAAAAACAAATGTAATCATCACAAACCAAACCCTTGAAAAACCATATAAGTGTGAATTTCTGAGCACTGTTCAGTTAGTCTATTCCCTCTTGTCACCTAACATCATATAGAATTTACAAGCACGTTAAACCTTTTTTGGGGCATTAACGCAATAATTTATTCAGGCTGTAAGCATCTCATGGAGAGCCAACGAAATAAGCAATGATAGTACCATATTATTCTGCACAAAACACTGTTGTTTTTGCTTTATTCGCATTTATAGAGAAGATTAAATGTATGAATTTTCCAATAGGCTTACAAGCTAATTAGTTAAGGGACAACAAACCTTAAAAACTACATTTCATCTTATTACTTCTTCTGATTAACTTGAATTAATGAAAGTTACTGGGAATGGCCAAAGCCTAAACTTAAATAGCTTCTCCTTTCGTTATCCAGGAGATAAGTTTCGTACGAATACTATATTGGACAGCAGGAAAGCTCTACTCAAAGCAAACATTAGAATTACTCCTAGTATGGCACTGGCAAGAAGGAGTTAAGTGTTATCAGTGGTTAGGACTCTCGCCGACCATGCATATGGTCCGGGGTTCGAGCCCACGCCGACGCACACCTGATATTTATGGTCGGCCTGCGAAATTTGGGCTACCGATATCGCATGCTAGAAATTCCATACTTGTACAAAAAATACAGTATGGAATCAAGCTGTAATCAAAAATAAATAAAAATAAAAATAAAATAAAAACGAGTGTTAGGCAATTCAGGACTTATGAATAATTGAATTGAGGAAATCATTGTCAGGTGTATAAAAGGAGCAATAAGAAGGACACATAAACACGCACACAACTTTAAATCTAATAGTCGCTTATTAAGCATTTTGTTCAAGTACATAAGCAAAACTAGTCCTAATTGCATTTCCAGCTGCGTTTATGAAGAGTTACGTGCAGGACAGGCTTTTCAGGAAGGGGATCTATCAGACAAATTAAAGATCAATCACTGAAATACAGCAAAGTTTTAAAATCAACCCCCGGACTTACTTGCCAGCGTTTGCTGACTCGCTATCTGTGTAACAGAGAATCAAAATGTATTAGAGTATCACAGAAACACAAGGCTAATTGAAGTCTTGATCACATGATTATGCCCTCGAAAAATCTCAATATTTAAAGGCCAGTGTATGAATTAATTCCACGCATCAATGAATTTCACTTCTTCATACGGTATACCTGATATGTATCCACATATATATTTATGTGTGTGTGTGCATGTTGGTCTCTCTTTCTGTTTGCTCGGTTAGTCTGTGACCACTTCACTTGTATGAACTTGTCTCCTTTAATAATGTGTATTCTCCTTATATTATATTATATATAATATGAGTGTTTGTTGACAGTCCGTTGCTTGGTGACATATATCCATATATGTTTGTTGGCATGCCTGCTATATTCGCTATGTATAATTGGATCGACACTCCATTATAATTAGCCATTCATGTTAAGACTGTCTAATGACTTTTCCCACGCTTGTCTGAATTATTTATAGATATTTGCATTCACAATTTGTGTGAACTACTTTACTTTACAACTACGTGACTTACTTACCACTTTGGTGTGAGACCATTTATTTTCGTCTCCTTGTGTTTGGACAATAGAAGTATCATCGCAAACCTAGTGGTCTTCTGATTTCCGCCTTCTCGCGTCAGGACTATTAGTTTCTCGACCAGTCCATAACAATAATTCAGCGACGAGTACATAACAATACCATCCTTCCTTAATATATGCGTTTTTGTGTTTGCGTTTGTCAGATGCCACAGTGGACAAAATTAACTATAACTTGGAATCGAATATACAGTTGGGAATTTGCATATTCTGAGTTGAAGACTGACATTCAATACGTCTGAGACTATTAGTGACAATTAAGATAACAACCGAATATTTGCGATGACCTACTAAGCATAATCTAATTGCTGTATATGCTTGATGTGCATGGCTCTGAACAAGCAAAGAGATCTTTTAGTGTTTCGATTACTTCGATTTGTCTCAAAAGCACTACCAACAGACATGAATGCTTTCCATTTACACAGATCAATTACTGATATGCATGAATCATCACAATTTATTCTAGTGAAGATCATATCTCATGCAAGTTATAAGAAGTATGTCTTTCTTACCAAGGCGCTGAAATCGCGTCTCTGAAGAAATAACGATATGCATTAGAACACATTAGTAAATAATATTATCATGTCGACTTCATATGGCACATTTGAAACACTGTTCTACTTGCATTTAATTGACAATTCAATACACATATGGACAATAGCGAAATCATTACCAAGAAGATATAAAGTCTTTAGAAGTGCTTAACATATGAAATTGAAAGATGAGGATATTTACTAACTACTCCGTATCTCTCCCTCTCATTATCACTTTCTTTTCTTGAATGTAAGTATAAATGCTCTTCCATATCTCTTCAGTGTTGGGTATTTTTAACTGAACCGAATCGGATCACAACATAACAACAGTGAAGTTTCAAAACCATAGACGAGATTTCTTAATAAAATTGGAACTTTCATAGCTATGAAATGTGAATAATGTCTTCAGTAGAATACGATAACTCTTTCAAACAAAGAATTAGTAAAACTGAGGAAAAACCAGATCCTCAATGAAAAGATTTAAGGCGGAGGGTTTCAGTTTTGGACTAGTGGCTGAAAAAATATTCAGCAATGATAGCTTCAAGATAAAATGAACTTTATGAATTCGCCGTCAGTTTGATGACTTTCTTTTTCCTACGATAAGCTTCAATATGACGATTTGTCACCAGAAATGATTTAACTCTCCAGACATATCCGCTTTCGTTTGTAAGAATCGTTTAGATTTCCCAGTAAATCTGATCTGCGTCGATAGATTGAAGACTGCGAAGTAACCTGAGCATCAGACTTGTAGAAATTCTTAACTGTTTAGATTGTCTGATGCATCTAAGATTTGTGCACGCTATAGATCCACGATCGCAAACAAGCCATCTTAGACACCTCCAAGGTTTCGTGCTAGTTGACACTTACAAGTTAGCAAGGCGTATCTGCCACCTTGAAGGAAATCATGTCCCTCCTAAGATCCCAACCTGCATCACCCAAAGACGTTGCCACTGAGCTATTCAGCACCTTGTCGATCGCCTACAACCATCTTATATCATCAAATCAACGTGCACCGTGAAGGTGAGCTACCCAGAATGGTGGCCACATTACAAAACTTGAACAATAGAATTCAATCTGCACCAAACAGAAGAATAGACGCATCACACTAGTGGACAAGAACAGTCACCTTTCTGAATGACAAAATATACATATTGCCAAGAGGAAAATATCACAAATTCTTGAGAATTTCAGGTTAAAGATCAGATTTTGCACAGTAAATGGAACTGCAGAAGAGACATGATGGACTGGTACTCGCAACACGCATTCAGAAATAGAAGTGCTCAAATTCCTTTTGAAGTCAATCTTTAAAGGCTGTGAAAGCCTGAATCATTGACCACCTACCTAAGAAAATTTAACTACATCAGAAACATCGAGACATTTTTATTTTAATGGCCTTATTATAAAATAATATATACCTAAGAAGGTTACAATAATAATATCAAACTCACCTGAGCTTCCTCCTTCTGTGTGTTGTATCAAAGTGTCTAGGATAAGTAGAAGAAATGACAGAAGCGTAGCTGACCTCATTCCCTCTAGTTAACTGATATGAAAACGTTTTGAAAAAACTCAAGTTTGAAATGTTTATACGAAGACAACGTGACACATGAACAGTATGAGTCTGTCCAACTACTTTAGGCATACAAATGTTTGAAATATGTCTCTCAGCAATCTGATAAAACAGTATAAACGAGAGGAAGGGGTGTGAAGAAAATATTCGATTTCATTTAATATAGTTTCCTTAGAATGAATCGAACGGTCATACTGAAATCAAAAAATATATAACAAGTATTAGTGTTATTGATATGGTATTTGTTTACGGGTAACGCCTATGAAATTATGCATCAGATGTTGACATGCCACTACCACAGCAAAGCATACAAAAACCACGAATTGAACAACATGAACTAGCAAACGGACGGCACTAGAATGATAAGCACATAACTGTATGTATCTTTAATTCATATTTAGAGAATGATTGTGCACAGTTATCTACCACTGGGGAGTAACCAGTACTACGTATCCGATTCGAATTATTAGTAGTCATTAAGTTGATTAGCGTACTAGAAGCCTTATTATCATCATTCACTGTATGAATGAACAAAATTAGTGCTGCAAATGTTGTCTGGAAAAATTGGAGAGGATTGTGATGAAAAGGCGAAGTTAGTCTATAATATTTCCGTATCAAAAAATTGTATTCGGTCCGTACAATCAAACTATGAATGCTTTTTAATTCGTAGGCCAAACTTCAATTATTTCTAAGGATCAAAATAAAATGAGATATACAACTTGGTATGATTCCCTCTGCGGTTATGGGGATCTTTACAAGGTTAATTTTACAAACGGGGAGAGTTAACTGACAAAAACGTAATTCATTCATTCTCCCTGGACCTAGTATGTCCTCTACACGCAGATATAGAGGTTAAGTATTATATAGCAAAGATTATTCAGAAATATCCGCCATTTCTAACAATGTAACACCTTGCCTACAAAATACATCCGTATATTATACTACCGTGATCGGCTATATACTTATTAAAAATGCATTATTTGTTCTGTATACTGATGTTCGATATTCTAAATTTTCAAGCATGGATTTTGTATGGGTTTTGTTTGATCTCTCAAACTAGTAAAACAAAATCTTTAAAAAATCAATACTTGCAAATGAGTCTGGTGCTCACTAAGTACTGGCCCTATTCAGGCAGTTACCTGGAGTTATTGTAGGGAGCCTTCACCAGCAGGTTGAAGGCGAGGCAGTAACTCATCGAAGAATACATTGTGAAGTGGTCGTGCTACGTCAGGATTAGTTGGAAATTAGAATTCATGCGATGGCCATTAGATCAGTTTCCAGCGGCTAAATGGTCTACGGGCTCGTTTGTCTTGCAACCTCAAGGTTCTGGGCTCGAATCCCGCCGTGTATGTGCGTACTGCTGGAGAGTTCCAAACTATGACATTTCAGCTGCCCAGTAACCCTAGGTTTTCCAGTAGTTTTCTAATTGATATCAGCTCATGATGAAGTCTTCAAACCAATATTCTGAATTTTTTTCTTCAAAAGCTTCAGTGAGTAGCGGTTAATATTTCTTCAACTTACATGTATTTCTATAAGTAGCCTATATATTTGTGAAAATATGTTACCGTATTGAATAAATGCTGACAGAGCTTCTCTTTAAAACCATCCTTCTATCACCAAGTACTTGAAATATTTGAAACTTCCAATGTTACTTCACTTCCTTGAACGCTTAACAATGATTAACTCACTACATTCAGCTATATTATATTGTTATGATTTTTCCCTACAGTTCAGAATGAACCCAAAAAGCATCAGCAGTACATCGCCATTCTACGTTGTTCTATAAGGTCATTTCCGCTGGCCTTACGATTGTCAATAAACGTTCTTTTCCTCCTTTCATGTCCTTCTTCGTAATACACTCAGACTGACACCTAACTGGTTTTTTCTCATTTCATTACCAATCGAGGGGCTGACACATAATGTTACTCAGAGGTCTCTTCATTTTCTATCCACCTGGTCTTCACGTTCTTCTGCATATGTGTCATGCGATTTGATCAAGCCGACCTGTATGAAACCTTCAAAGCATCCATGATATTGAATTCTGTTTCCGTTTACCTCTAAATTTTACTCTGCACATTGTGTGTTACAGCTAACAGAAACAATAACATCCTGAAAGTATTTAATGGCAGTCATCCTGCTGTCCATTTCTCCGTAATATTATATTCAGACATTTACATTTCAGAATATGCATTATTTTTTCGTTATCTATTTCACGCATGTCTACTGAACTTTAGGTTAACCTCTGTTATTACGAGTTTGACCACGGAGTGATATCAGTTAGAGAAGCAATGAAAACCAACCTAAGAGTACTGGACAGCTGCTTTATTCTAGTTTGGGGATCATCGGGAGTACGCAACCACACCACTGGGTTCAAACCCAGGACATTCTGGTTACAAGGCGAGATATTATACCATTCAGCCACTAAGACCTGACTCAGTGGCCTCTGCATGAATTCCTACTTCTACCAGTTCGTGATTTAGCGTGACTACCAACCATTGTCATCGTTTGGAACTCCGTACTCACACCTGACTAGATGGTCAACTTGTATGGGACGGAAACAATTGTGTCCTACAACATATTTCTGATTCTTTATTGGACAACACTCAGTAACTAGTATAATGTGTTTAGTCCTATCTTAGCTTCGTGGCTAACAGAATTCAGTCTGCAGCGAAGATAGGACTAGACACATCACACTAGTTACTGACTAGTATCCAATCAAAAATATCCAATACAGTCCTACAGGAGGTCGCTCGAGAGCACGCACATCTCAGTGGTAACGTCTATGTTTGCAGCAAGTGGTGGTGCGGGTTCAAATCTCAAAAGGGAGAGAAGTTCCTCTGGGATTGCAGATACGCCTCACTGATGAGTGCGCGATTAGCACGAAACCTAGTTTCAAGGCTTCCTGGTGATTTCATACAAGCATCTATTGTCAATATTTTCAATTCAGTAATCAGATATACGAACGAATTATTAGTTGAAGCCATCATGCAAATTTTTTAAATTAGTGAACTTTCCCATAATTGAATCATTATTCTGAGTACATTTTGTTGATGATGTATATGAAATAATTGAAGGAAACGAATTGGAATACACCAATAAATTAATAAACAACATATTTGAAGTCATTAAATTCACGAGTGACGAAGAATACGACAATAACATTCCATTCTTAGATGTCTTAATCAAGTAAACTAACACAGGGGATTAGGAAACACAACTATGCAGAAGATCAGTGCACACAGACCAAATACCCAACTATAATAGCAATAATCTAACTACTAACGAATAGGACGAAATGTGCACCCTGGAGCCAACTGCTTGTCACCATCCACCAATTAACAAATGAAACTGTTTGCAGCAATCCTTTGAGAGACAGAGAGAGAAGAGATATGTCTACTAACCGTCTTTAAAAATAATGAATTTCATCAAAATTGTTGAAAGCTCAAGTACTAATGCCAACAAGAAACCATCATCAAAGAATACAAGAGAATTCATCTTACCATAAATAAAAAAATGTCTCTGACTTAACAGCTGGAATATTAAGACCATTTCAAATATACATAGCACACTAGTCAGTCAATGCAACCTCTTCATTGGATATTGTGCAAACCTAAGCAATGCAATAGAAAAAGAACATAAAATTAATACCATTTAAAAGGTAAGCTGTATGAACTGCAATCCTCTTAAGTCCGTGTGGAGGTCAACAGCACTCAGCATCAAAAATAAGAGCATCTCAAACAAACTACAGACCTTCATCAACAGCTAGTTGTCTTCGCTCAACACTCAAAATCAGATGGCCGGCCAGAAAAGATCAGCAACAGGGATCTCTGGCAACGAGCGAACCAAACAGGAACCGACTGTGAATCAAATAGACAGGAAGAAATGGAGATGGATTGGCCATACGCTGAGGAAACCGTCAAGTGACATTACTAGACAAGCCATTGCTTGAGTGGAACCCGAAAGGGAAGCGGCAAGTTGGTCGTCAGTGCAAGAGTGACTTGAAGGAGGTGATGTGAAGAGGAGATGAAAGCATGTGGGGAGACGTGGAGCGAGGTGAAAAAGTTCACAGAAAACAGAAGGCAGTGGAGACGCGCAGCTGAAGCCCTATGTTCCTTCAGGAATTAAAGCATATAATAATAGTGAACCGAAATCGAAAACAGTACATTGGTCAAAGTGGTGTCCTTTTCGAATCTGAATCGAAGAACACAAATTAGCTGTGGAAAGACATGATACATGTTCCTTCTTATCACTGCGTTAGGGTATTAGCAGACAATAATTTGATCGGGATAATGTCTAAATTTCAAACGGAGGAAACACCAAAAGTGCCAGAGAATTCCTAGGAGCCTGATACTCAAGTGAATCAACCAGGAATTAGCAAACGCATTATTATATAGACTAAATTTACCAGCCAACAAAATGTTAATCACACGGTGAGTAAGTTCGAATTCCAAGTCAATAAAAATAAACAGTAGTCTGTTTGTCTGTCTGTCTGTTTTCGACATAGAACTTTACACATATGTGCGGCAGTTCAAGTTACAACACTCCATGTACCACACAAAGCAAGAGATGAAAGTAAAAGAAATGCATATTAGAGGCAATAAACAGAGGTGTGAGACAAAGGAATAGTAATAACGAAGGACAAAACAGCTTCATTGGGAATTCTAAGTCACAAGGAATGGATACATCGGCGCCAGCCATTGAAAACGATTTTGAGCTATGTCACCAGTAGTTTCGAACCATTGGTTTTTACCGTCCCGATGACCCAAACCAGTCAGGAAGTCTACACCTTCCTACGTGGCTTAGACTAACTGTTATGGATTTCATTGACTGGTGCTAGCTCTTTTCCAGCCTGACCCTATATCAGCTAACATTGCCCGTCGAGGAAGGCGATGACTAGGCATACGTACGTAACACATGTCCAAACCATCTCAGTCGATGTAATTTCACAGCCTTGTCGATT